ACACATCTTTTTAAATTATGAAAAACATAAAATTGAACAATTTAAGGCATCTTAACATTTTATCAAAATGCTGTATTTTTTAAGTGGGATAATTTGTCGTTAGCCTACAAATAAGAAAAAAGTCAAAAAGGTCTCCAACTACTTGTAGGAGGTCGAAAATGAACCCAGACTATATAGAAGGTCAATTTAGTCCCAAAAGAATTTAAATAAGGACTAAAATAATCATTATACTCTTTAGATGAGTAAAATAGGCTCATCGGGAGATCATTTTTGTTCTTATTTAAAACATCTTGGGACTATATTGGTCTTTTACGTAGTCAAGCAACTATTTTTAGCTCCCTACAAATAGTCATGAGACAATTCTGGTCCTTTCTAAGCTACAAATTAATGCCGATAAAAGAATTGCATGCTAAAGATGAATGATATATGTTTAAATGTTTAATAATGGAAATGAAGTGAGCTTAGGAACTGTCATGCTGTGGGATAGATTAACCATGATATATTTATGATAAAATGTACAGATAAGACGATAAAGGTGAGCCATGGAGGCAAAAGAGCCATCAAATTTATAATAATTGTACAAGAAGGGAGGCAAAAGCGAGTCCATATAAAGGTAAAAAGGGTTATCAGGATAATATAGTATGATAACCTACAAAATTGGGAAACAAAGATGAGCACTAAAAAAATAAAGAAGTCCTCAAGTTAATATATTTATGATGAATAATTAATTATACAGAGAGAAATATAAATGAGCCCTCATAGGGATAAAAGGGTCACAATATAAATCATTAGAGATGAATTTTAACCCCGTGACATATAATGTTTGTTTGATAAATACCATTGCCTTATTATGATCAATAAATATAAACCTACATATATGACATATTCAAAAGCTGAGTAAGATGTCATTTAAAGAAGCAAATGAATTAAGGAAATGTATATTATGAAATAAATAATCACTTATGTTGATACATAAGCAGTTGGCTAGTATAGTGCATGTCATGGCTGAACAATGAACATCTCTTTTGAAGGATTTTCTGTAGGTTAGATAATGCATCATTTCGCCAATTTTATTCAAGAAATACCACTAGATAACAATTATAAGTAAAGCACTAGATTTTTATGCTTATTTTAAAATTTTAATATCAAGTTAATGATTAGCGGATCATATTGGATAAATTCCTTAATTATTTAAATTTTATTTCAAATTATTTATCTTGTGAGTTTTTAAGATTACATTTATGCTCTCTAATCATTAGTACTGTGAGGGTTATTTTAGTACATTACACACGTATTAGATATATTGGCTGGTGGTGATTTTTTCGGTTGGTAGACTGTTGTCAATCGGTGCGCCTTGGGTCGATCGTCACGTCTTAATCTGATCAGCCGGTCTTCGGTCGATCGTCTTACGTTATTACGATCGATTATTCGACGGATCCTTCCGTTCGTCATTATCATGCTTGGTCGTCGGATTGCCTCGAGATTCGTGCTAACATATTTTTGTATACAATATATATATACACACACACACACATGTTTAATAAATCACAAAAAATCCTTCATTTTCCCATTTTTGAGAGCTAACATTGTGAGCTGGCTTGGGAACAGAAGGGAGAAGAAGAATGAGGTAAGGGAAAAACTATGGTTTTTTTTTTTGATAGAAGGGAGAAGAAGGATGAATCTCGATAGAACAGAAGGGAGAAGAAGGATGAGGCCACTACTAAATTTTCTTAATTCCCATTTGTTATATTTGCAAGTTTATCTCGTATTCTACATTTTCAAGTTTCACCACTTTTGTATTTTCTAGTTTCCTGAGTTGCCTGAATGAGGGCACATTAAGGTTGTGACCCATGTGAGCACGCACCTGCAAAAAGCTAGAACATCTTTTGTTCTTTTGTCAATCCACGTAGAGTAGATATGTCGGCTAGCAATTTGTAAGCATGATGTACTAAACCTAGAAGGCAAAAGGCCTAAAGGAGATTGGGAATGGTAAGGGCTTTGAATCCTGTAATGTTCGATCATTTTTATTTCATGATATTATATTGAAAGATTTACATACATTCCACATAATTTCTAGTTTTCAATATCTAGCACTTAAACTTTGATTTTAACATTTATAACATTTTACCTATGCATGAAAAGATGTATTTCTCGTTTTAAAGTTAATAGTAATGATATTTTTAATATGAATGTAAAAAAAATCAAAATTTTGAAGTTACAAATGAAAATAAATAAGAATTGTGCATCATGCATAAAAATGCCCTAATTATTTTTTAAGTTATATGCTTTCCTCTCCTTGAAAGTAACATCATATTTTTCTCCAAAATTTTGAACCTTCATCCAAAATAAAAAAATTAATGATCTCATTTGGTTTTATTGAACATAGTGAAATAATTAACAAAAAATTCTTTGCCTTTCACTTTTGTATCACAACACGCATACATAAAGATAAGCACCTACAATTCGAGAGGTAGGTGATCTCACCCAAACTCTAACTCTAAGACTCAAAACCCAATCTCATGCATAATCCTAACCCTGAGCATTTAGCCCTATTTATACTAAACAATAATAAAAATAAAAGACTAAATTGCCCTTAAGTTAATACAAGACAAAATTACCCTCAGACTAGAAACTATCATAACACAATCCTCATATATCCACAAGGTAAAAAGGTCACTAGTCCCTTGCATCATAATATTAAATGTTATCATAAAGTTAATACATATAATTTACATGTCAAAATAATGCATTAGTATAAATGTTGCGATTGAAGGATATTAAATGTTAATTACGTCAAATGTCTTATCTCAAGATTTATGGTTCACAATCTCTAGCTCTTGATTTATAACTAGTAAATATGGATTCTAGTACTAAAATTCTTTCGATGATCAATCCAACAATGTACAAAATAGAATGTATTATAAGAGGATTTCCCATGAGATGGCCAAATAAGATTGCATTAGTAGTTACTAGATTGAGAAGAAAATATTGAAATGGTCATTAAGTTCAATTGGAATAGCTAGCATACGAACATATTAGTGGAGGTCAAGACAAAGAAAATTCAAAATATAATTATCATTGAACATTTTGTTGATAAAAAGTGAAGGGTATAAAAAGGAGTTTCAAATTTTATTGCCCTTATTTCTCATCGAGTTTCTTAATTTTAGTAAAACATATTGACTCTAATGAGATCAAAGTGATATGCTATTATTAGTGAATCTATACATTAATTAGATGCCATGTCTTCTTTCATTAATTTCAACTGATGACTTATTAGTATTAAATTATTTTACATGAATTCGTGTCCATGATTTATTTAGTAACAGTTTTAAATTATGTTTATTTAATTAGTGTCAAATAGTTAGATATTGGTTCAGCATTTTTATTGAACTATTTATTTATTTAGTCTAGAAAAATTATTTGTTAATATAATAACCAAGTACACATTTATTTTTTTAGAATTTTATTAATTTGTTTAAGTACTCGTACAATTAATTTAGACAAATATAAGCTAAACTCAATCATGAAAGAAATTAAATAAGACAAATATGAACATATTTATAAAAACTCAATTCAAGCTTGAACTGAACATGAACAACTTTTAATATAACCAAATCAAGTCCAATACATGGTGCACCACTCAGACTTTATTTGGTTTAATTACAACCCTACCAGACATAGTAGTAATTAATCTTAGGCCAATAAAACTATCCTATTGATAACTTCATTGAAATATAAAGAACTCCGACCATAGTCCATAAGGAGATTGCATTGAATTAGGAAACCAGTAGTTGCTACTTAAGTGTGAAGAAACAACATATGAAGAAGCAAAAAAATAGAAGGGGAATTTACATACATAGCACCAAATTCTTATAAATTTACCTATCTCACACCCAAACTTTGATTTTTACATGGTGAGCAGCTTTCCTATGCATGAAAGGGTGAAAATAGTGTAATCCACCTTTTCATACATAGGTTAGGGTGCTTACCATGTAAAAATCAAAACATGGGTGTGAGATAAGTAAATGCATAAGAATTGGGAGCAATGCATGTAAATTTTCCAAAATAAAAATATGTTCAACGACTCTATTTTAATGGTTGTGATGCCCTCCTCAACTTAAGACCCATCGTTACAGCACATCTTAGACATTAGTTAAAGTTACAAGATCATAGCCATGATTTACAAACCCTCTAGACTAGAGTCTTGTGGATAAATCCTAAATTATGAAATTATTATCATTTATGCTTGTCTGGCTAATTTTGCATGATTTAATCTAGCATCCGCATCAGTTAGGGAGATGTTTTAGGCATTTTACATGTTAAGATTGAATTATGCATCATGAAGGATGTATATTAACGTCCATAACCATTGCAAGGTAAGAAATAACCCATCTATTCTTAGCAAATCAATCTTCCCGATTAAAAAATAAAGCAATCTAGCATGTGAAGAAGGTTCCATATTATCTCTTCTTCAATCATCCATTCACAGCAAAATACCTCCTATTCTCCAAAAGTATTAAACATGCCCACACTCATAAACCTCATCCAAACGTTTTGGGTCAATCATAAAACTCCTTCAACAATTCCCATCCCCAAACTTTCTCAATACAAAGACACCAACTCACCGCCACAATAAGCGTGCTAATAACAACAAATCACCCATCAATCCATATAATAGCTAAAACTCAAACAGAAATCACACTCACAGATAGCATGTCTTCCATTTAAGAAAATGAGATCATACATTTAATCGCATTAATTACTTAAGCTACACAAGCAATTAAGCCCGCGACTCATTCCATTTACCGGAACAAATGCCTCTACTTCAATTTCACACTATCATTTAAACATAAACATAAACAAAAACAGAAAGACAATAATCGCTCCGCATACCGACTAAAATAAAAGCCCTATAGTTTGATCGACAGCAATATGCGAAACTCAAGACCGCGATCCTATTTTACGGGAATGAATATCGCGAGACGGAGAGGTTTGAGTACCTTGAACGGAGACCCTTTCGTGAAGGCGATGAGATTGGATTTGACCCGATCGGAGAGGAAGAGTAGCTCCGTGTACTTGGTATCAACGGTCCCGATGCAGTAGAACCGGAGTGTCTTTCGTTCTCCCTCCATTGTTTTCTGGCTAGGGTTAGGGTTAGGAGGAAGTTAGGTTTAGGAGGAAATTGATGAACTCATATGAAGAATTGTGAGAGGAGAAATGGAGAATTGTCCCTTGCCCGAACTTGAGAGGCTGGGTGTCAGAAAAAACAGAACAGTAGAGAGGGTTCATATGGCGGTTGTGATATCCATTCCATATGTGGTGTGCCGGCGGAGGAATTTAGGTTCATTTATTTGGCCGTTTCTTACATTTTTTTTAGACTTATCTCACATATAAATTTTCATTTATGAAATTAACATAATAGGAAAGAAATTATGTCAAAATTTGCTTACAATTTTTAATTAATTGTTAATTGATTACACTTAGTTTAAACATATTAACAAAATATTAAAGAAAGCTACATCTTATCAAATTTTAAGAATAAACATTGACCTTATCAAGAATTCTTTTATACATTGGCATTTGGCACCATCTCTCTATGATTTGAAATAAACATAATATTTTCAGATATAATTTTAATTTTATTGAACATTAGATAAATTAATTTATGTGTGATGACACGACTGCCGATGAAATAGCTATGATGATTAGTATTGATCGAAGGAGTTGGGTTGCAGTGAAGGTTAGTGGCAAGCGATAGACTTTAGGGGTGTCCAATTGGATTTGGCGGGTCTATCGGGTTTGACTTGAAATTGATCCGACCCGAAGCAATTTGTCCATAACCTGACTCAAATTATAAATTGGTTAGAAAATCAAACCTGAACACGACCTGTCTTCCACCTGCCAACCTAAACCCAGCCCGTATAACCTATTTAACATAAGAATAACAGTTATTCATGCTAAAATCAGGTTAATTTTGATTTAATATAATGTCAAATTCGGGTTGACAAGTCGATTTCAAGTTAATTTAGTTGGCAGACCAATTTTCGGTTTGATGGCTCAACCCGACCCAAAAATTAAATGGTTTAAGATTTTTAACCCGAAAAAAATTAATCGGGTTAACTTGAAATCAGATTTTTTCGACTTGAATTAATGTGAGCTCAATTTTTGACATCCCTACCGATGGTAATAATTATTTTTTAAAATAACAAAAAAAATAGAAAAGCTATTTTTAGCATTCTTGATAAAAGCTAATTTGTTTTTAAAAATAAAAAATAAGATAATTTTGAAATATTAATGATCCCAAAGGTACTAGAAATATATGCATTAGATCTATTTTATTTCCCAACTTATTATTATATGTGAAAAATAAGTATCTGTACGCTACCAAAAATTCTAAGAATTCTTATGATTTTGTGATAGAAAATTTTTCTTACGAGAATAAGCTTGCAATATATTCAATTTACTTTGAGATTAGTGTTGCATATAAGAAATCTATATTACATACATTAATTTTAAAGCAAATTTAATAGT